CAAAAAGAAAGAAAGAAAGAAAGAAAGAAAGAAAGAAAGAAAGAAAGAAAGAAAGAAAGAAAGAAAGAAAGAAAGAAAGAAAGAAAAGAAAGAAAGAAAGAAAGAAAGTCCTAGAGGCTGTCCAGACTGGTCTCTATGCTGTTTCTTTGTGTTTCCATTTCAGCCTGGGCCTGAAGGGACAATTCCTTACGTCACCACAGATTATAACTTCAAACTTCCTGGAGCCTCAGAGAAGATTGGAGACAGAGAGTATGAACACGCATCTCTTGGATTCAAATCCTATAAGAGAAAATAAAACCTCCATAGGACAGAATGAGCTCCACCCATGAATCTTGACCTCCAGCCCGAGTCAGCAGCCTTGGTGGGTCTTCGTGACTGTGAAGAACATGCTCATGACCGGTTTCATGGGACTGGAAAATGTGCTGAGAGCAGATAGCTCCAGACTCCATTTTTCTTTTCCCTCTAAGACAGGGTCTCTTGAAGCTCAAACTCTGGGTCTTCCTGTCTCCATCATCCAAGTGTGGCACTACAGGCCCATGTCAGCACACCTGGCCTTCAGGCTTTTCTCTTCAGTTGTCTGATGTCAAACTTGGCCTCTTGGTGACTGACTAGCCCTCCTGAGTGAGTGGAGTGTGTCCTGAAGAGGTGTGGAGCAGCAAGGAGAGCTGTGCCTCCCCACCAGACAGGAAGAGCGCAGCCGCCCTCTTGGTTCCAGAAGGACTGACTATTGGAATCAAAATAAAATTGGAATCCAGGTCCACCAAAATGTGCCAAGAAACAGGGCAGCAGGCTGACCCCCTAGTACTCAGGCTCTGGGCAGGCTGCTCGGGTCTTGAGTAAGCTAGGTGGGTGCGAGTGAGAGACTCACTCTGAGTCACATGGCCCTGACCATTAGGAGAGGTGACTCAAACGCCTAATCTTTTGATGCCATTGAGTCTCCCAGATGTGTAGTCAAGTCTGTTCGTTTGTGGGTCATTTTAATCATGAGACTTTTGTGTTGAAGAACCTACTCTGACATCCAGAAAGCCTCTGGACTGTTCCTACGGTCCGGGTATGCTCTGACTGACCCCTCCTTTAAGGCTGGACACACTGCCACGGGGCCACAGGCCTGTGAACAGACACTTTTGTGCCTGTCTTGGGCAAACCTTTGCTACCAGTGCTTTCTTCTGGAGGCCACTGCGTGTGCCGTTTTTTTCTAGTAGATTTTGTAATTAGAAGTGACTGGGTCAGGTCCTTTTTGTGGTTGAAAAACAGGCCACTGAGGAACTTCTCAGGTTGGCATGACCAACGACGTATGAGGACTCCACCTCCCAGCAGGATCATGTTCACATACACCATTGATTATCTTGTCTGTAACTACCCTCAGTGTGCCCCGTGTTGTCTACTCGGCCCCGTCTTTGTGACACTTTGTGGTGGCCTCAGCATCTGAAAAACCCGTTAGAGAGAACTGCAGCAGCCTGTTTGGTCTGAGCCCCTGTGGACCGCTGAAGGACTCACGAGCTGTCCGTATTTATATCTGATGTTACCTTGTGTTGTCTTTCTGTTTGGTGGGGAAGGGCCTCTCATCATGTTGTCCAGGCCTCTGTGGGTTCCATTGGTCTCTCCTCTTCCTGAGTGCCAAGATTACAAGTGTGACAGTCCTGGCCTTGCGCCACTAATGATCCGTGTTCCCCATGTCTTCACAAGAATAAAGGTCCTGAAACGCAGGTCTCCGACCTTCACTTGGGGTTCCCCACCACTAGAGACCCTGTGTCAGCAGTAGAGGGTACTGTAGGATTGGACTGGTGGTGGGAGGAGCAGTCATTTGGAACAGGATTCCTGGAGGGGAGTCTTGCTGTGGAACCCTGGCTTTGGGAAGACCTGCAACAAAGTGTCTGTCCATGTGATTATGGGCATTTGGGGCAAGGAAGAGATGGCACAGAGTGCACAGATTCTGCCATAAAGAGGCTGACCTCAGACTCACATGCACGAGCCTCCTGCCTCAGTTTCCCAAGTCCTGGGATCTCAGGCATGTTTGATGTGTGTGGTTTTTATTTAGATTGTTCTGGTCCATGAGAGTAACATACACTTGTTTTAAGAACACTATAGAACCATGCAACAACAAACACCCAAATCACCAGTTTTTATGGCTCCTTAAGATTCTAAGAGTTATTTCCTAGACAAAAGTGGTCCGGAGTTCCTATAACGCTGTCCTGCAGAGGTCATTGGCAATTCAAGACCCAAGAAAGTGACACTGAAGAGGCTGTGGGCACAGGCCCAGGGCTTGAGTTGATGTACTCTTCCAGTGTCCAGACAGAGCTGAGGGAGGCCGTGTCCTGCACTGGACCTCTAATAAGAACTTATGACTTGGGGCTCTGCCTGACCTGCAGTGTGGAAATCAGGTGATCTAGGTAAAGGGCCCCCTTTTAATGTACTGTGTGAGAGACACTGCTGGAGGGACCCAGGGCTGTCTTACTCAAGCACTGCACTGCTGAGGTGGGGTGCCTAAGCCCTCCATCAGGTGGTTTTCTTTTTTCCTATTCGTTTTATTTCTCTTCAATCTCCCACCCCATTGCATCTTTTAGCCCAAGGTAGCCTAGAAATCACTATAGCCCAGGCTGACTGACATTGCACTGGGATTCTGGCCTGGTAATGATTTTTCTTTCATTAGATTCGATAGATTTGGATGGCAGCATAGTGGTGTAATGTCAGATCTGAGGGGGAGTCCAAACCTGGGTCTGTTTCCTTCTCCGTGTTAGGGTGGGGAGGGCAGTGGGGGTTGTTTATAAAAAGCCCTGCCAAGAAGCTTATAGAAAATGGTGGTGACTCCTTGTGTAGCTTGTCAGTTATAAACTCTTGGAAGGTGAGCATCAAAGTTTTGCCCCTCCTGAAGGCTGGGAGTGGTGTGGACATGGGACATAAATGCCTGCACATAGCTCCTTCCTGGCCCTTCCCTTAATTGAATCCTGCTGCCACGTGTCCTTGTGAAAGTGCACTGCTTAGGCAGGTCCTGGTTACTAGTGATGAGTCACCAAAAGCCCTGACTACTGCTTTAAGAGTTAGTTGTCTATGCCAGTATGGAAAACTGCCCTCACGTGCCTGTGGCATCACTGGTGTCCCTGTGGGTCCTGTGTCACAACTTTAAGAATACGGGGTGGGGGTGGGGGGGACTGGAGAGATGGCCCAGTGGTTAAGAGCACTGGCTGTTCTTCCAGAGGACCTTGGTTCAATTCCCAGCACCCACATGGCAGCTCACAACTCTAACTCCAGTTCCAGGGGATGCCAATGCATATAAAATAAAGTTAAATAAATTAAAAAAAAAAACTTTGAGAACACGGATTTGTATCATTTCAGGGTATAAGAGATTTTTATTCCAGGCGATAATTTATTTGGCTTTGGGGTTTTTTGGTTTTGTTTTTTTGTTTGTTTGTTTTGGGTTTTTTGTTTTTGTTTTTTGAGAGTTTTTCTGTATAACCCTGGCTGGCCTTGAACTCAGAGACCCACCTGTCTCTGCTTCCCAAGCTCTGAGATCAAAGGTGTGACCCACCACCCACCACTGCCCGGCTTGAGTACAGTTTTGGTTTGTTTTTTTTTAATGCAAATAGTGAACCCTAAACTGGTGTCTGTGCTAGAGATGCCTCAGTGAGAATGCAGCCCAGCTCAGGGCAACTCAAGTTTTCCCTGTCTTGGTGTGTCCTAGCAAAGAGAACCAGACTTTGCTGACAAGCCCAGCTTCAACAGTGGCTAAAATAAATCAGGGGGCCATCTGTGCTGAGGGGGAAAACCCATGTGACCTACAGGGCCTCTTTGGAAAGGCCTTGCACAATTAAATACCCCCGAGGCTTTGCCAGGAAAGAGCAGCTGGAGGGCGGGCAAGGTTGCAAGCAAAAAGGAGATGCACCCAGGCATGGGGAGAGCTCGCCCTGCACAAGCCAGAGCCGAGTCAGCAAAGCCTTGGGAATCAGCAGAGAGAGCTGAACTGGACAGACCAGGGTCTAATCTGGGAAGCCTGGGGTTGCCATGGTTTCCAGCCTGCTGTCATGAGGACAGCCAACAGTCACTGGCTAGAGTTTTTCTAATACTTTTGAACTTGCTTAGATTCTGGGGTATGACCAGCTCTGCCCAGCAGAAAGAAGACACCTATCTCTCAGGCCTTTCTCACCAAGCAGCCCAGCAAGGAGTCTGCTGCTGGCCTAGGGGGCTTTTCCCTGCTATTGCTTTCTAGGAAAGGCGGGGGCGGGGGTGGGGGGGGGGGAATGGGATCATGAGGGTTCTGCAGTCTACATGTTAAAATACTTCAAATACATGATGCCCTGGAGACCGGGATGGAAGGAAGCAGAATGACAGGGCCCAGAGCGCTGAGGTGTTTTTGTGCAACAGATTTATCTGGAGAAGTTAAGATTGGTGTCAGGAAAAGAGAGGTCCTTGAGAGTTGGGATAGCAGCTACAGTGTGGCCACGTGGTGGTAGAGGGTCCAGCAAAGCATGAACTCAGTCCCGGCGAAGCCTGGATTTCCTCCTTGCTGCTGACTCTGTCTTCATTCAAGAACCAGTGAGTCAGTTTCTTTGTCTACAAAGAGGGGTTTAGGGAGTGCAGTGAGGAGAAGCCGGTCTCGGAGAGTTCACCAAAACCCATGCTGGCCAAGCTGTTCTAGACCTTGGTCATCGGTGACTTAGTGGATCAAGAGTTTAGAAATCCGGGCTGGAGAGATGGCTCAGAGGTTAAGAGCACTGACTGCTCTTCCAGAGGTCCTGAGTTCAATTCCCAGCAACCACATGGTGGCTCACAACCATCTGTTATGAGACCTGGTGCCCTCTTCCGACCTGCAGGCATACATGCAGACAGAACATTGTATACATAATAAATAAATAAAAAAAAAACTTTAGAAATCAGGTGGTGCACGCCTTTAACTCCAGCACCCAGAAGGCAGAGGCAGGCGGGTCTCTGAGTTCGAGGCCAGCCTGGTCTACAGAGGGAGTTCCAGGACAGCCAAGAAAGAAACCCTGTCTCAAAAAACCAAAAAAGGGCAGGTGTTCCCTCACACCATTCCCCAGGCATCTCTCTCCATCTGCTCCCATTACTGGCGTGCTGTGCCACGGCTCTCTGCAGAGGGGAATGTGCAGCTGCCACAGGACCTGACCTCAAGCTTCTAGAACCTGCAGTTTCTGAGTGCTCTGATTAATAGGTGTGACACGGCACCCTCAGTTATGGAGAGAGCTTGCAACAACCTAGACCATGTAGGCAAAGGACCTGTGTGAAGGAACAGCCCCCTGTAAGCTGGATGATATCAGCCAGCGCCTCTGGCTTTGCAAGCAACATTTTCATTGTCCAGGATAGTAATAGTGGCTGTCACCCACAATGTCTTTGGAAAAGGTTTTAGTCCCTGTCTGAAAATTTTAGTAAGGCAAGGGTTTAGTTTGTTGTTGCTGCTGCTGAAACACGGTCTTATGTAGCCTAGACTGGCCTTGAAGTCACTTTTTAGTTAAGACTGGCCTTGAACTCCTCATCTTCCAGACTCACCTCCCAGTTGTAAGCCATCTGATGTGGGTGCTGAGAACAGACCTCAGGCCTTCTGGTTCTCGAAGGTGCTCTTAACTGCTGAGCCCTGTCTCTAGCCACCTCTCGCCCCTTTGGGGAGGATCTTGGTTGACCTGGAACTTGATGGGTAAACCAGACTGCCCTCAACCTCATGGAGATCGGCCTGCCTCTGTCTCCTGGCTTTCCTTCCAGTGGGATCTTGGGGCTGATGGACAAAGCTCTAGGGAACCAAAAACCTTACAAATAGATTAAGGTAAACTTGTAAATAATTAAAGGATTTTTTTTTTTTTGATACAGGGTCTTACTATGTAACAACCCTGCCTGGCTGACCTAGAACTCTCTTAGTTCTAGAATATTAAAGGCCTGTGTCACCACACTCAGAAAAATATTACTGTGTTTTAAAAATTATCTACAGGGGCTAGCTAGATGGCTCAGCAGGCAAGGGGGATTGACCCCTGTCCTGATGGCCTGAGTTCCATCTCTGGGGCCTACCTGATAGGAGATAACTGGCTCTTGGAAATTGTCTTCTGGCCTGGTACGTGGGTAACGCTGGCACAGATGTGCACACACACACACACACACACACACACACACACACACACACACACACACGTACATATATACAACATATATACATATATACAACAAGCAAATAAACGTAAAAAGAAACAGTTTTCAGAGCCAGGCATGGTCGTCCACACCTCTAATCCCAGCTCGTGGAGAGAGGCAGGTGGCCTCTTGTGAGCTAGAGGTCAACCTGATCTACACAGAGTTCTAGGTCAGCCAGGGCTGTTTCATAGTGAGACACTGTTTCAAAAAAAAAATTGTTTGTTTTAATTATTTGCAAGATGGCCTTAATCTAATTTTAGGCTTGTGGTTCCCTAGAGCTTTGTCTGTGAGTCCTATGAGCCCACTGGAAGGAAAGCCTAGCAGGCCACCATGGTGATCACATCAGTTAGTCCCAGCACTGGAGGCAGAGGCAGAAGGACCACAGACTTAGAAGCTACCCAGACTATGTAGTGAGATCCCATCAAAATAAATAAAATGGGCCGGGCGTTGGTGGCGCACGCCTTTAATCCCAGCACTCAGGAGGCAGAGGCAGGCGGATCTCTGTGAGTTTGAGGCCAGCCTGGTCTCCAGAGCGAGTGCCAGGATAGGCTCCAAAGCTACACAGAGCAGAGAAAACCTA